CCTCTATTTCTTGTAAAGTGGTTGTGGCAGGAACAAGGGAATGATTTCTGTGGATACTACATCTGCGAGTCCATCCGCCACACGACCTGTGAGCGGGGCGGGTACTCTAACGAACAATATGAAGTACGCAAATAACAACATTCACAATTTTATTTTATTACCATCATTTGTGTTGAGTTTCATTCATTCATATATATATGTATTGACCCCCTTCTTCAAATTAGATGTTTCGGAAGCGGGATGAACTCCTAGCAGCTCGCATGCGAGCAATTTAAGAGGAATTGGCGGCATTCTTTCTTGACCACGTGATCCCTGAAGACGGAGAATTCTATGTGGACCCTGAGTCCGTATGATTATATTTGTAAGAGATAATTATTGTATATATGTAGCCGGTAGTGTCAGATAGATATACGAGAACTTGTTGTTCGACCAATCTCTCGGAGAAGGAGAGGTGGTCGATATCACTTCTCTCCGTATGCATATATGTTCATGACGATCTTCTGTTTCCTTCGTTTGCTTACTAGCTAGCCAGCGTGTCTAGTCCTCTCTATACGTATGTATAGTACGTAGCGTCGACCAAGCACGGACATAAGAGAGGACACTTCTCTCTATTAATTATAGCTAGCTAACACAATATATGAAACACCTAAATTAACCCCCCAAAACCCCCAACCCCCCCCCCTTTCAAAAAAAAATAAAAACCCCAGCCACAGAAATGCTGATGTGTGGATGCCTATTGGTCCCGGTTGGTGCCACCAACCGGGACCAAAGGGTCTCCTGACTGGGCTCTGCGCACTGCCCACGTGGAGGCCCATCAGTCCTGGTTCTGGATTGAACCGGGACTAAAGGGTCGGGGCATTAGTACCGACACTTTAGTCCCGGTTCAGGAACCGGGACTAAAGGCCCTTACGAACCGGGACTATAGGCCCTTTTTCTACCAGTGTTTATAAAGACAAAATATGGTGGTCAGTTGCTAACTGTAGTAGGTATCGATGGGAATGATTCTATCTATCCAATTGCAATGGCACTGGTGGAGACAGAGTGCCATGCATCATGGTCTTGGTTCCTAGCTACACTAAAGCAAGATCTTAATATTCTAAACACAAGCAATTTCAGCATTATGAGTGATAAACAGAAGGTAGCAATTTGTAGCCATTTCTTTTAATTAACTTCACTGCATTTGTAACAATTTCTACAACTAAACTACACTGCTGCTGTAGCTATTTCTATAACTGTACTTTTCTGCACTTTTCCATAACTGAACATTTATGCAATTAGGGGCTCATCAAAGCTGTACAGGAGCATTTCCATGACTCTGAGCACAGGTTTTGTGTTAGACACCTATACCAAAACCTACATGCAGTACACAAGGGAGAGACTATCAGGCAGCAACTCTGGGCTTGTGCCAAATCTACCACACCAACTATTTTTGAGCAGAATATGGAGAAGCTAAGCCAAGACAATCCTGAGGCATATAAATGGTTGGAGGAGAAGCCACCAAATCAATGGTCAAGGGCATATTTTGATGTATTTCCAAAATGTGATATTCTTCTTAACAATACATGTGAAGTCTTCAACGGGTAACAATACATGTGAATTTTAATGCAATTTCTTTTACTGAATTTTAATGCAATTTCTTTTACTGAATTTTAATGCAATTTCTTTTACCGAATTTTAATGCAATTTCTTTTACTAAATTTTAGTGCCGCGGCAAGTGATCTCCGACGCCGCTCTGAGGCCGTTCCCGTGGTTTGCATTAAAAGAAATTGCATTAAAATTCAGTAAAAAAATTGCATTAAAATTCAGTAAAAGAAATTGCAATTTCTTTTTACATGCGTGACCAAAGAAACAGAGAAAACCGGGCGGCTGGCCGGTCCAGATGGCCAATGTGACCTAGATGCACCCGCAATGCAAGTTCCGTGACGGGTTTTTCCGGTTTGCGAGTAGTGTGACTTAAGTGCACCGGAATGACAAGTTCTCTGACCGCCAGTGCCTTTTACTCATAAAATCAAGTAAAATCAGTGTACTTGAGATAAGAAAAATACTTGTTAGAATTGAAATCATAATCATGGTGCACTGTATCAGCCTCTTCTCTTTCTGTTGCATCTTCCATTAGAAGAAGGAATGCTTGATCAGAGTTCAGCAGGTTGCTTTTTTCATCAGAAAAAGGGATGCCTGATCCGAGTTCAGCAGGCTACTTCTTCGATGAGAAAAAGGGAAATTTGATCAAGTTCTAAAGCAATCTGATGATGAAAGTTTAATCAATTCCAGTGTTTTATTCACGCAGGCTACTTCTTCCATCACAAAGGACTAGGAGCAGAGCAGTCGTCCCTGCTGAGCGTCGGGGATCTCCTTCCGATCAATTTTGGCGCCGTTTCTGTGGCCTATCGCGCCTTTTTCCCTCGCTTCCTTCGCCTCTCTCTAGCTAGCGTTGGACTGGGCCGATGGGCCGTTTATTTTTGTTTCCACCTGAGCGAGAAAGCTAGCGAAGGCTGTAATTCGTGCGAGTATCGTTGGATGCCTGATGAACGGTGCAGCGTCAATGACGTCCCTCGGCAGTAGAACTTCCTACGTCAGAGGATCTCATTCCGGAACGGACGTGGGCACGCACTTGTGCGGGAAGGCTAATCAGAACTGATCTTAATCTGGACTCCGGGATCAGCCAACCACCACCGTGCACTGCCAGCCAACATGCACGCATCATGCATGGAAAGCAACCACACGGTAGCCAGCGCGGGTGCTTGAGCAAGTGAGCAGGCAACCACGCCCGTGCATGGCACATCAGCCGATCAGCGGCCGCGGGCTACTCGACAAGAGCGCGAGTGGAGCGCTAAGATCGCCAGAGCGGCCAACCGCGTCCGCCTGAGTCGCCGCAGGCCACGCCGTGGGGACGCGAGTCCAGCGCAGGACCGGCTGAGCAACCGCCGTACCAGCCCGATCCACTATCTAGTTGGAAACGATGAAGATATTGATGAAGTAGACGCATGTTGTAGTCGACGGATGGCAGTGGGCGACGTAAACCGATTTATAGATTAGAGAACCAAAAAAGAATACTGATCAAACGACCCGCAAGAGAGAAAAAATCTGGATCAATTGATCGGAAAAAAGACTCTTTAGGGCAGCCGATCAACACGACCGGCGGACGAACTTTAGATACGGGCGGCGCGACCCCGGCAGCGGTCCTGGAGGCCGACCACCCCGGGGGCGGCGCGCGGGTGCGGAAACGGCGGCAGCTAGGGTTTAGGATCGAGGTAAGGTTGATACCATGCTCGCAGGGATATAGAGGTTTGGTGAAATTATTGTTATATTGCTTAAGCCTCTTGGACATACTCCCTCCGTCCGGAAATACTTGTCATCAAAATGAATAAAAGGGGATGTATCTAGATGTATTTTAGTTTTAGATACATCCCTTTTTACCCATTTTGATGACAAGTATTTTCGGACGGAGGGAGTATATAGAAGTACAAGGTCGTCTTAGAGTACAAGGCAAGCTGAAATAAATCCTACGCTAATGTATGTTTTTATAATAACAATGATACTCAATAGCAACATCCATAGGCATTTTCCCTTTTATAGTTTCATCAGTAGTGTACCTTCTCGCTTGGCTGGTCGATTTTATGTAACTGTCAAGAAATTCAGTCGACGCTTCAGGAGGACGTACTTCCTTGCCATGCACCAAGTCTTAAGGGAGTTGCCAAATTCGCCAAATAATCATGACGACCATATCCTGAACATCATCAAAACACACCAGGACATTTATGGGTTGTTGTAAAATGTTTTTTTAGAATGGATTGTACAAGCAAGAAAAAGAAAAGAAAAAGTAAAAAATATGTGTTGTCAGCTGGGTGTACAAGCAAGCAACACGCGCCAACTCCATGGAACCGTTGTCCACTAGGTAGATCTGCCATAGTCGTTGTCAGAAAGTGTGGAGAAATCCATCATGCGCATTCGTGTACCGGCCAAGTGCGCTCATCTGAGACCGGTCAAGAACCGCTGGCTGGTGATGCGCCGATGCGTGCGGCTTCAGTCATCTGGGGACGGCGTTGCCAATGTGCGAAGAACCTCAGCTAGCTTTTTTTTTTCCTTTGTTTTGAAGAGAGGACCTCAGACAATGTGCTTCTTGCGGACGAGTTCTCTCTGGCGATTCTTTAGGTCTCTCTCTCTTCCACAACATATTGGCCACACAAAAAGACGAAAACATGCATGTATAGGTTTTCCAAGACGGGGAAAGTCAATTTATGAGACGGAGAAGAGAATGGCCACAGAAGCAGGCACCGGAGGCGTGGAATCTCCACCGGGCTCCATCTCTCCACGTACGGAACCTGCAACTTGGATACCCTGTCGTGGACCTCGTGGTACAGTGGCCCACCGTATCCGTATGAGGCAGAGAGGTTTGGCCGAGTTCAACACGCACCTCCACCACAAAATCGTCGATCGCCAGAGATGAAATGAGACTAGCGCGGGCGGGGACGCAGCAAGCTGCCGACTTCCCTCCTCCACGGGATGGAGCGGCCGCGAGAGATCCACAAGCTTCACGCGGTCGCAGACACCTGCCCCGGCCGCAGCCCCGGCGGATAAAACGCGCGAAAAAAAAAAGCACCGGTCGGAAGCAAAGGCTAAAGAAACACCAATGTCTTTTCTTTGAGAGCCAACCAGCCTCAGCGCGCGCGCGCGTGCGTCTGCAGCTTGGCTGCGGGGCTAGAGCAGCAGCGATGGCGGCGTCCGTGGCCTTCTCCCGCGCATGCGCATGCAGGCGGCTCCCATGCAACCCCCTCTCCGCCTCCACCGCCGCGCCGTCTCTCGTCCGCCTGGCGGGAGCGGGATCCTCCAGGCGCCTCCGCCCCGCCTCTGCCACGGCGGAGCCGGCCGACGTGCTGCCGGTGCCGGGATCCGGGGCCGGCGAGCTGGACCTGGACGGGGTGGTGCCGGCGGGGCTGCTCGAGGAGCTGCCGGAGGGCCTCGCCTTCCAGGGCGCCCCTGGCGGCAGCGGAGGCGACAAGATGCTTGACCTCGGCATCAACGCGGCCATCGTGCTCGGCGCCATCACCTTCGCGCTCACCAAGGTCCTCACCGTCGATCAGGACTACTGGCATGTAAGGACCTCCTCGATTTATACCAGCCAAAATTGCCTCTTCTCTTATGTTCTGCTAATAACTAGCCATAATCTCGATTTTGGGGGTCCGCCGTGATGATTAACATTTGTTTTCTTGCTTGGATTGGATTTGGTGCAGGGGTGGACTATCTTCGAGATCCTGCGGTACATGCCACAGCACAACTGGTCGGCGTACGAGGAGGCCCTCAAGGCCAATCCGCTTCTTGTTAAGATGATGATCAGTGGCATCGTCTATTCCCTCGGCGACTGGATAGCCCAGGTGCGTGCCACTCCAATTCCCCCTCGCTGTTTTACATCCCCTTTCTGCTGCTGCAATAGCTAATTATGCTTATTACAGTGTTACGAAGGGAAGCCCATCTTCGAGTTTGACCGTGCTCGCATGTTCCGGTCTGGCCTCATAGGGTTCACCCTTCAGGGATCCCTTTCCCACTACTACTACAATTTCTGCGAGGTACCAATTGTGGTCATACATACTTAGCTGACCCGTACAAGTTTATCTGATGTTGATGAGGTAACGGACAACATGAGTGCATCGACTTTCTTGCATCAGTCGGTGTTTCCGTACAAGGATTGGTGGGCTGTACCTGTCAAGGCTGCATTTGATCAGACAGCTTGGTCGGGGCTGTGGAACACCATCTACTTCGTCGCCTTGGGATTCCTTCGGTGGGAATCTCCGTCCACCATATTCAGAGAGCTCAAGTCCACCTTCTTCCCCATGCTTACTGTAAGCATCAGTCATCTTTTAAATCGTGAATTAATTATGCCTATGTACGTGGTTGTGCCAAACTAAGTATCTTTGGACACTGGGACTGTATGTTAGGTTCATGGTATACTACCGGTTGTTATTCAGTTAGAAATTTAATGTCGAGCGTAGAGCGAATTAATACAGCGGTGAGATGCATTTTGCCTCTTCATTCTTCATTTATTGACACCTAGTATTATCTTCAGGCCTTTTAGGTACACTAGAAACTACATGTGTGTGTTAACGGGTGTAAATTAACTAAATAAGGTGCACATACATCTGATCTGATACACCATTGTGAAAGAATTTGGGGATGTGGATGAGTGAAAATGGAAACAAACTGAAATGTGATTGATAAGATTAGTTGTGCTGCAATATAAGAGTATTGCATATTACCTTTTGCCCATTTTATTTATCTTGCTACTCATTGTTACAAAGCTGAAAGTGTTGGTCTATCTAAATTGTAATTGCAGGCTGGATGGAAGCTGTGGCCATATGCACACATAATTACATATGGTGTGGTTCCTATCGAACATAGACTTCTCTGGGTCGACTGTGTCGAGTTAATCTGGGTCACCATCTTGTCAACGTAAGCCTGATCGTGCTTTCATATTTGATTTCACAGAATTACCCATGCTACCAAACTTCATTATGCATGCAAGATTACTCAACTGTGTCTTCTTCTTTGGTAGTTACTCGAACGAGAAATCTGAAGCAAGGATCTTAGACGATTCCTCCACAACAGATACGCAGGTATGTTGCATCGGAACTACTAGTACTAAATATATGTAGAAATAAGTTCAGCCTTGTCATCTCTGTCATCGTACTGACAGCTGGAATTATCTCTTCTTTTCAGGACAACTCCAGATAGCACATACTTCATGCTTTGTTGTTTTCTACTTCCTCCGTCCGAAAAAACTTGTCCCAAGCTTGTCCCTCAAATAAATGTATCTAGCACCAAATTAGTGCTAGACTAGATACATCCATTTAAGGGACAAACTTTTTCAGACGGAGGAAGTAGATTGGAACAACAGAAACTGCTCCGGCTTGCTTTGAGATTGTATAAATTGTATGTACAGTTAGTTACCAGTGCTGCGTGTGTAAAAAACCTTGCATCTATTGCAAACAAATTGTGCTGGCCAAACAAAAATAAATGGACTCAAGGGAGATCAACTCCTGATGAAAATTTGAGTTGTGCAGCAACCATGATTTTGAGTCTCTTTTGGTGGTACCAAGGAATGCTTGATGAAACTATGCAAGCATGCAAAAAAAAAAGGCAAGGCGCAAAACATGAGAAGTCTTAGACATCGGCAGATCTGTCTTTCCTAAATTGCATTTGATGGACATATGTCTGAACAAAGGAAGCGCGATGGAAGTATTATAGAACTGCAGAACACAACTCTTAACCAACATTTCCATAGCATACACATTTCTCTGCAATTGGACATGTTCTACAAGATGTAGTTGCTTTGATACAGACGAATCCATCAAACACCTCTTTCTCCATTGTCCCTTGGCAAAAAAATTATGGCAGACAGTACACTTAGCATTTAATATTACTCCTTCAAATACCATCAACACGTTATTTGGGACGTGGTTAGATGGGTTAGATTCCGAAACAGCGAGACATGTTCGTATAGGAGTATGTGCTTTATTATGGGCAGTCTGAAACTGCAGGAACGATTTGGTTTTTAACCGAACAACAAAAATTCATTTCTTGCAGGTTATCTTCCGGGCTACTACACTCATCTGTATGTGGTCGCTACTCACTCAGACGGAGGCCAGTGAGCGTTTGGTTACTGGATCTATTCGATGGGTGACGGTAGCTCGGGATATTTTCAACCGGTTTGGATGGCGGTCATGTTATATGATAGGTGTTTAGTTTCCTATCTTATATTTTTGTCTGCTGGTTGTGGCTATCCTGTCATGTTGCTTTTGCTCTTTGCGAGCTTCTTTACTTTCGAGACCTGAAGACTTTTGTTGAACCTTTTGCTTATAAATAAAATGGCTGTATGCATCGTTCTGATACAGAGGCCGAGGCCTGACCCCTTTTTGGAAAAAAACTGCCCATGTGTAAACACTCCTTTATTCTCCGGCATCTCTTGGCGAATAGTTCACGTGATTTTAATCCAGTGGCGGAGCCAACGCCCGGCTAGCCTGGGCATTTGCCCGGGCTCACTTGCTACATGCAAGCTAGCGATGGCCATGCCCCAACGGGAAAAATTGTCATCGCACCGTGGTTTTCCCGGGCAGCAGTGGCTGAATGGGCTTCTGTTTGCTTACTTTATAAAATGAGAAGGTCTACTAGACATGCATGTAGTAGTAGGTGGACTAATACAATAGATTAATGGGCTAATCATGGTTTTCCTGTGCGTTTCCTTATGTAATCGGCTACCTAAGATGTGGTTCGGCTCATCGGCTGTTGCTTTGTTTACTTGGAAAAATGCTAGACCTACAAGCTTTTTACACTCGCATAAAAGGCTTTTTACTCCCTCAAATTTGTGTCGTGCTTTCAGCTCAAATTTAAACTAAAAGCACGACACTTATTTTGGAACAAACGAAACTAAAAAAACATAAGCTTTTTACTCTGTCTAAAAAAAGTAAAGTGTTTTACTCCCTTCGATCCAAAATAAATGTCATGGTTTGGAAATTTGGTGCCATCCTGATATCAAACATATAAATATTAATAGAATCTGTGGTTTGGAAATTTGGTGCCATTTTATATGGTCTACTTCCAAACACCCAATTTTCTCTCACCTAAGGCTCAAATTTGCCCAGGCTCTAGAAAAGTTCTGGCTCCGCCACTGTTTTAGTCCCACCTTGGTTCGCCATAGAAACATGTTATCCGCCACAAGTCATCATTTGGTTCATCCACCCGGACAAGATCAATGAATTTAGTTTGGGGATATGAGGGGAAATATTTACTGGACTTTTCCACATCAACAGTAGACACTTCCTAATTCATAACTCTCAAAACATTCGACAGATTTCGGGGCTGTTTGGATTGAAGCCCTCGGGTAGCCCTCTCCTAATGCAAACAACCCAATGTTTTCACACCAATTCCATGGCAATCTCTCTAAAAAAATCCATGGCGAATTGCGGGCGTGCAAATCGTTCACCAAAATTTTGGCTGTCCGTGATTTGGTGGGGCAAACGTGGGCAAAAACCAAACAGCTCCTTCATCCCCCACCTTTTCCGTGAACTAACTACCTTAGATTTGTTCACAGTGACTCGGACAGAAAAATGGACCTTCAGAAGTGCCCTCTTTACTGAGGCACTGGCCATGCCGCGACATGCTATTTTTTTAATTGCGTGCGGCCGAGCTCCGTTTCAGAGCGTACCACACACACTATCGGGGAGGGGAAGAAAAATATGTCGCCGCCTCCACTAGCGAGGGATGGAAACCTGTCGCGGTCACAACAGATGCGGAGGGATGAAGACAACTCGGGACAGAACGTCCGGGGTGGAAAAACAACCTCACATGCCAGGCCGAGGGACTGAAATCACGAAAGACATGACACGTGAGCACCTAGACCTGCAGCGACTAACATATTGAGACAGGTTTGTGGAGGTTGACGCCGACGCCCGTCAGCATCGTCATCAACCCTAGTTCACCATCATAATCGCATGACGGTTTCCTCATACCAGTTCATCGAACTTCCCGGTTTGATATTTCAATCGCTATGCCCATGAAACATGTTCCTGGCTAATATCAGTCTAAAACATATGTGCCTTGATATGCTTACATTTTGAGATGGGCTAGTATAAACCCATGAGATCTATACCTACTAATAAAAGAAATAGGGATTCTTAGTCCGTTTTGCTATTTTATAGAAAACCCTCTGATGTTTCTGGCATTAAACTCGCAGTACATATCAAATATATTTTTAAATACTCATATCTTCTAAACCGTAACTCCAAATTTGACATGTTATATATGGAATTTGATTAGAAAAATATGTAGAATCTGAATATAATGTTATTTTACGTGTTAACAATTTCAAAAAAAATACTACTATCTAGGCTGCAATGTTAATCACTAATGCATTATCTATCTTTTTTTCATAGCGGTACTGATTCAGATTGGGGATGAACACCTAAGCAAAATCAAGATTGGACATGAAATTGAAGATAAATTTGCTAGAGATACCCAATAAATAAGGACATGCATGACAAGAAATAAAAGAAGGGCCCAATAAAACACCTGTAAAATCTTAAACGGCGTTTTCATAGGTTAAGACCATCTTTGTTTGGGCCGTAACTACAAATTCTCAGATTATAGACGATTTTTTTTATATTAAGAGCGTGTGGTATTTTTTTCTCCCGTTGCAACGCACGGGCCTTTTTGCTAGTAAATATATATAGTTCTTACAAAACAAGTCACATGCTTAACATTGAAAAGAATATTTCATTTAATACGATGAGATAATATTAAATAATTCAGACATAGGAAAGCATAACTACTTAGGGTATCTTGCCAACATCAATAACCAGAAGAAAAATCAATTTGAACGTGGGAAATAATTCTGCAGTCCCATTTCAGCTGAGCGCTGAGGTTTATTTTGATGTAATGCTTTGAGAGAGTGTTGAGTTGTACCTCCCATGACCGCCATGAGACTGTCCAACTCCTTCACCCGGTGACTGATATCCTGTCATGAAAAATAACGATAAGAAACATTATAATGCTTTGTAGAGTGTCGATGTTTTAGTGTGATCGGCAGGAGACATTACAGCGAGCAATTAACGGATCATGCAAGGATTACGAATCGAGCAAGTAGTCTAGTTCTAGACTAGTCAAGAGAGTAGTCTAGCAGTTGCAGCTTCACTGTCGACTAGGCTGATCGTGATACTCGTGGCCGTGGGTGCAGTCTGCAGTCAAGCTGTCTCAGGAGCAACTAGTTGCTGACTACTACAGACTACTCTTCAGTTTCGAGCAGGGCGCGTAGAATTTGGGAAGGATAAATTGCGGCCAGGAACATTGCGGCACAGCTAGTCATGTCCTCCACGAGTTCTCCTCCTCCCCGACAAAGCTCCGTTGCCGCCCGGTGACGCTCAATTGGAGCTCTCAGGCGGCGCTTCACTGCAGCCCCAGTCGGTCTGACAGAGCTCCAACGCAGCACCGATGTTGCCCCGATGAACCTCTATTGCAGCCCGGTGGCGCGGGTGGCACTTCGTTGCAGCCCCTGGCGGCGTGATAGAGCTCTAACGTAGCACCGATGATGCCCCAGCGAAGCTTCGTTGCAGCCCGGTGGCGTGGGCGGCACTTCATTGGAGCCTCGGGTGACGTGACAGAGCTCCAACGCAGCACGCCCCGATGAAGCTCCATTGCGTCCCCATCGCATCGTCGATGACCCCGGTAGCGCTCCATTGCGACACCGGCAATGTTGCGACCACCCTGTGCACCGACGGTCGTCACGGCCCCCCTCATCAGGTGGGCAGCAGCACCACTGCTACGACCACAAGGCAGAGAAACATGCCCCCCACGATGGCGCCTCATCAACATCGGTCGCGGCATGGGGCGCCTCCGCACCACTGGCTCGCAGCGTGGTGGTTGCGACAATGGCGATGGACGCAGCAACAGTGCTATGCGAGTTGCGGGGACCGCCCTATCTATCTTGCAGCACCGTGGTTGTTGCGGCGGGATGCGCAGAAATGGGCTCCGACGGTGGAATGCGCAGTGGCGGGCTCCCACAGCCGTCACTGGTTTGTAGCAATATTGGTTGGCATGGGAGCCCATCTCTTCCCTGCCATGGGAGCATGCCGAACGACAGAGACAAAGGGAGAAGAAAGGAAGAAGGCGAGTGGGCGAGAAGGCTTCGGCGGGAGATAAGGCAGGGTGGGCCCAATAGGGGGGTATGTTGCAAGCGTGAGAGACAGTTTGCAACACTCGCCCAATAGACGACGACCTGCCTCTATCTCTCACCGCCCCTTCGATATCTCTGGGGGCTGACCCTCAACTGCGGCACCCCACTCCCATCCACTACGGCAACCCAATCCATTCCCGGTGGTAGGCTAGCGTCACCATGCGGGGCATTGCCTAGTCGCGGCTATCAGGTCGTCGTCCCCATCTGCATGAGGCCACGGTCTGTGGCCATTTACCCACCATCTGTGTTCGTGCCTTTCGGTGCGGTTACCGGCAGTTTAACAACGGATGTGGCGGCAGCTGCGAGAATCACACCGGCCTTGCGCATGCGGAGCTTCTTACACCCGTGCGAGGAATTTCTCTCCTTGTGCCAGGTTGCAGATTCAGTTTGTGCAGACTTAGGTTTTGAATTCAGGTGGAAAATGTGTCTGTCATTTTAGTCATTCTATAAATATACTATGCTCCCTAATTCCAGATTTGGTTCACAATTTTGAGTGGTCAATAATTTTGATTGAAGTTATTTTGAATTTGGTTTATAGTTTCTATTCAATTGTGTTGTTCAATTTCGAATCTATTTCATAATTTTGACTAGGGCAATGATTTTAATTGACGTGTCCAATTTTGATTTTGCTTCATGATTTTTACAAGTCAATGATTTCTCAAATTAATAAGCAACAACCAACCTATAAAAACATATAAGTCTTGCGTACCCTCTCATCACCTGGCAATCTGGAATTGTCAACCTGCCACATTGTAGCATCAATATAGGACATGCGATTACCAGCGCAAGAAATTTTTTCACATACATGTGCATTGACCAATAGATAACACAAAATCACACATCTAAAAAGGGCCCACCAATATACTGCATTACATAAAAAGGAAAACACACACCATCATCTCTCTCATGCGCCAAATCAAACATTTTTTTAAATCCCGACAACACAAACAGCGCAGCAAAGCGCGCACAACCCGGCAAGTAAATACACCATGCTCCCTAATTTTTGAGCTCTCACAGTCAATTGAGGTCTTCAATTTGAAATTGGGTCAGCCAATTTTGACCGGGTGAATAATATTTTTTTTCTCAAGGAGCTCTATCAGTCAATTCGTTATGCTCCCTAAGTTTTAAGGCCTCGTAGTCAATCGAGGTCTTCAATTTAGAATTGGGTCACCCAATTTTGACCAGGTCAATATATTTTTTCTCAAGGAGCTCTCTCATTCAATTCTCCAAATTCACTATGCATCCTAATTTTGGAGCTCTCCCATTCGATTAGGATATTCTTTCAAGGAGCTCTATCATTCCATTCTTTTAATTCACGATGCTCCCTAATTTTGGAGCTCTTCCATTCAGTTGAGATATTCAATTTTAGACTTGGTTCACAATTTTGACTGGGTCAACGAGGTCGACCCTCTTACCACCTAGAATAAAAACGCAAATGTGATATACTATACCACCAATATAGTATATGCAGTCATCGACGCAGAAAATTCCCCCCCATAAGTATGGGCTGATTAGCATATAACATAGAATTACACCGCAAAAGACCCACCAAAACACCGCATTATAAAAAAAACACTCCACCACATATCCCACTTGCCAAACCAAATATTTCAAAACAGAATGTGTATTAGTTTTTTGAAAAGTCAAATTTCTTTAACTTTGACCAAGTTCAGAGCCAAAAACATCGACACCCACAATACTAAACAGATAAAATATGAAAATTCATTTCATGATGAATCTAATGATACCGACTTGATTTTATGGATGTCGATATATTTGTCTACCAATTTGGTCAAACTTGAAGAGGTTTGACTTTACAAAAAACTAATACACCTTATATTCTAAAGCAGAGATAGTAGAGAAATGAAAACCTAACAACACCAACCCGCGGCAAAGCGTGCCCAACCCTTCTAGTATAGAAAAATAATCATGCGGGCTGCAGCAATTGCACTCTATCATAGATGTGTGGATTCTCAAATCTCAATTCAAGAAGCATTTCCTTTGTGAAGAAGAAAAAGAAGATGCATGTATGGCGTGTGTGGAATATTCTGTGAACTATGCAGTTCAAAATTACAAGCAGTCACCCACACAAGCATATTCTTCCGTCTCTTATTTTAGTATGTGAGTTGTTTGAAGATGTTTTTCCCTTCTGAATGTACATGATCCAAAAATCTAATTTCCAGTTGCTAAATTGATGCAAAGAAAACTAAAACAAACAAATAAACAAGAAGAAACATATGAAACTTCTCAGATAAGTAGTTGCAAACAAGGCCTAGTAGTACATTATAAGTCTCGTTGATGTCAAAGTTAGTGCAATTGTAGCAGTAGAAATGATATATGTAAATCTTCATTATTCATTTTTGCAAGGCATAAATACGATCTATAAATATCATTTATTATTGTGAGAATGTGCAATGAATAGAATATCTTGCCATCTGTCTTTTGCCTTAATTTCTCAAGATGTTTGTTTGAGATACATAGTAAAAATACATGAATCATGAATAGTGATGCACCAAATTGTTTACAAAAGATTTCTGGCAGAATGGAAGGATGCAAAACAGCAAAAGCTATCCTCATAGTCAGATATGGAAAGCTGAAGTAAGCTTTCATCTAGGCCCTGATAAATGTGATTCCGATGGCACATAGGAAGAAGTTGGCCCTGCACTACTAGCACCATTTGATGCAAAACTAGGGACAAAGCTGTAGTCAGGTGCAGCCTCCAAGCTCGTCACGCCTTCCAACACCTTTGCGACCGTTGACATCAAGGGCCTTCTGCTGCTGTCAACCTGTAAGCACCACATTGCAAGCCTCATCGCTTCCATGACCTCCTCCATATGACATTGCATATCATTGCTGCCACTGTCCACTAAGTCGAGCAGGTGACCAGATCTTGCCTTTTCTTCGAGCAGACTTATCAGGTGAATGCTTTCCTCGGGCAGCGATTCGTCCAAATTCTCTCGGCCACAAAGGATTTCCACCACTACAATACCAAAGCTGTAGATATCAGCCTTCTCAGTGATTTTTGAGCCAAGCCATTCGGGAGCTAGATATCCACGGGTGCCTCGCATCCGAGTCATAATTTTGCTCTGGTCCCAGTTTATCATTTTGGACAGTCCAAAATCAGAAAGCTTTGCGATGAACCTATCATCAAGGAGAATATTCTGTGGCTTTATGTCCAAGTGGGCGATCTTTTCCTTGCATTCTTCATGGAGGTAGGACAAACCTCTGGCTATGGAAATTATGATGTTACGTCTAGTTTTCCATGACAAAGTGAAAACTGAACATGCATGAAAGATCCACTTATCCAATGAACCGTTGCACAGGTACTCGTAGACAAGAAGCCTGTGCGACTTCTCTGCACAAAATCCTATCAACCTGACAAGATTATGGTCATGCATTCTCCCAATTGTCATGACCTCTGCTAAGAACTCCTCGGTTCCTTGCTGAACACTTTCCAAACGTTTGACTGCGATTGTTTCCCTGCCTATCTTTCCTTTGAAGACTGACCCAAATCCACCACTTCCAAGCTTCACAGAGAAGTTGCTGGTAGCTACCTTCAACTCGTGAAAGGAGAAACGCTTTGGTGTCCCGGGTATGCTATCAAAGAGCTGTTCTTCCTCTTTCTTGCACATTTTCCATATGATGGCGGAGAACAAGATTCCTAATGCAGACAAACCTGCAATTACTGAACAAACTATAGCTGTGATCCTTTTTTTGATTGATCGTGTGCCTTGTATCTTGATGTATGCTGAAAGTCCATCGGACGAACCTTCTGCCAGCGAAATTAGTTTTTCCTCTGATAACAACAAGCAGTTACCACCATTACTGTAATGATTCGATCCGTAATACTGGAAAATGGCAACTCTGCAAGCACAATCTATTAAGCAAGCTTGCTTGCAGACCTCTTCTGAGGAACTTGAAATGGCCAATTTCCGGAACATGTTGTCACTGAAGTAAGAAACGTTGCCGAGTGGTAGCAACTGATGGTAGTGCGCACGGTTGCAGGAGATGGTGGTTAAGAGTGTGCAACCAGCATCTGGATGACGTTCATTGTTTGACCTAAAGTAGCTCAAACTAGGGCAAGAGCACTGCCCATCACTGCAAACACCATAATCACCGCATGCGAATGGGTAGTCACAAAATTTCATGGCTAGGCTTAATACATCAAACCGAAGCCGCGGGCTAGAGTAGCCCTGCATCTCGTAAAGCCTCAAATGTCCATCGGACTCTAACCGCATGTATTGCAATGATCTTGCTTGCGGCAGCCAGAAAACCTGATTTGGGAACCCAAAGCTGCCATTGACAAATGCATAACAGTCTGATTTGGTGCTAGCAACTTCAGTGAACGATTGTGAATAGTTTGCTGGTTGAGATGAATACTGCAGTCCACCAAACTCTGCAGAAAGATAAATCCGAGCAGATGGCCATTTTGTTTTGGAGGGTTTTACACTTATGTTCATGCCCCTGCAGAGCGATTGTCCCAGGACCAATGTATCTGTTGGGTGGTGAAACGACTGCCAAACAGAGGAATTTTTCTGATCAAACAACACAAGGTTTCCTGAAACATCTAGCCGCAAGCCTGCAACTGACCTGCTCTTTGTGGCTGTTGACCAGATAACGGTGCCATCCCCGTCGCTGAGCAGCATATTCCCATCGCTGGTGAAGTTCAACATGGCATCCTGGCTTACGGGATCACCAGGGTTAGCAGACCAGATGGCCGGAGGCTGGGCTCCCATGAGCAAGACAGAGAGAGTGAATGCATTGCCGTCCATGGTGTAGAAGCCAAAAAGAAGTCGGTATGAGGTGCTGACACTCTCAAGAATGACAAGGGCACTGGGATTTCCTGACATGGCTACTCTGGTTTGCATACTAGATATTTTCCAGAGATTTGAGGGAGCTGCAGTGGAGGGGTAGGCGACAACCATGGGCAGGATAGGGAAGACAAGTAGGAAAACGATGGAACTCAGCATGTTCAAATTCTGCATGATCATTTGTTGTGCTTATATATGCTCGAAGAAGGGCCCTGTTCCGCTGCCAGAAATATATTAACAGTTCATCAGATTGTAGTCTGGACTCTGACACGGATAACGAAAGGAACTCCAAGCACAAAGAGAAAAAACTCAGAGAACGCTCGATCAGTCGGAGGACTTACGATGTGGAGGGTTGATACTTATACTCGTTGAGAACAACTGAAGAGAAGATAGCAGAGTTGTTGCCTGGTGATACTAGTAGTCCAGTATTTAGTTGCCATGATATGAAGAGCATTACTCTTGATAAGTTAGGCATGCATGCAGCAGCATCAGGTTCTTGGCTTCTTCAATGCAGGGAGGCCATGGACTTGAGACGACGAAGAAATCTGCAAATGGAATAGCTTAATCCATGGAATAAATTATTCAAGACGCAAACTGAGCTGCAGATGGAACCATCCTAGTGTTTGGAAGAAGAAAAAGATTTACCTCGAGGAGAGGAACCGTGGTGTCGCTGCGCCGTCTCCTGCTTCCTCTTGGAGCACAAGAGTCGGCTACTTCCCTTATGTATCCCTCTGGACCACCCGTGCAGCCTTCGCCGGCGTCAATCGACCACCGTGGATGCCGATTCAGACCGGTCTGGAGCATAGATATATAGCTGGAGGCGGTGATTCAGTAGGGGAGGTTGCCCGAGATGGGGATTGAGCTCAGACGATAGATGTGCTGGGATGTGGTCTTTTTTCTTTGGCAAAAATATTTACATCGCGGGTGGCCAAAGCCTGGGCCACATCTTTTCTTTGTGGGGATACTTTCAGAGCCACATATCCAACGTGAAAGCAACCTCATCGTTGAATGGGCTGGAACTAAAAATCAAACATTGAATGGCTACGACTAAAAATCAAACGTTAGTTCAGGACCACGAGTAGAAACGTGGTGAGGGAGAAGATGTTTTACGAGTACCAGATCTGGCAACACTCTGATGAAATACACGATGGAACATCTTTCCCGGGGTCTGCACAGCGTATCGATGCAAAAGTTATTTGACGAACCACCTGAAATTGGCAATAATCAACTCAAGTCAATGGAGTTATTTGACGAACCATCTGATATTAGAATAAAACGGAACGGATCGTTCGATCAGAACCGCTTGGCCCCGACCAAACCCATGTCTTGATCGATTGCCTCCCCACGTGCAGGCCTGTTTCCCTCCATTGCAAAATTATTGTGCTTTAGTCATTGTTCTAAATACTGACCAGTTAATCGGCATCTTCTCGGCCAGTTACTCGCTACTCGGTGGGTCACTGAATAGCCGATTATCTGATTTATTGGCCATAACTGGAAAATTCGCCCATTCATCCTTACTCAGCACCCAACCGATATGGTACCAGTTACCTGAACAATGATTTTAGTTCAAATCTTCTACTTTCTCCGCACCAAAATAATTGGTTTGGCTTTAGTTCAAATTTGCTTTAAAGTCACGACACTTATTTTGGGACGGATGCAATATTATCTATCTATCCTAGTTATTTTCTATCTATCTATATTATATACACTAAGAGCAAAATATGGATATAAATAGAGAAATATTCTAAAATGTCCACACTTATTTTGATCTAAAACATCCCGGATTTGGAGTTAATTGCACAAAACCACCACATTTGAGGCATCGTTTGTAGAAAACCACAGGGTCACTAATTTTTTTTGTAAAAAACACGGCATATTCAGTAAACATTTTGCAAAAAGCACTGATCAAATGATTTAGGTCGTTTAATCACTTTCTGACAAGTGGGTCCGGATTGTCAGGAGCTGACTTAGCAAAAAATTTACACACACATCCCTCGATCTAAAAGCAGAAAAGCAATCCAGCCCTTGTTCATGGCTGGTTGTCGTCGGACGGCACACACACGCTAGCACCTAAGCACGGGTGCTACGTGCTGCCTCCCTGCCGTTGCTGCTCCTCGCTGATCCGTGCCGCTGCGTGCTGCTGCTCGGTGCCACAGCTCCCCGCCGGTGTGGCTGCCCGAGGCTGCTGCTGCTCGCCACCACAGGTCCTCGCCGCTGCGGCTGCCCGGCGCAGCTCCCATGCCATGGCCGTCGCTGAGTAGTGTGGCTCCCAGGCGAGTCGGATCGTACAAGGGCGCGGCCCGTGTGGTCCATGGCTTGCCGGAGCTTCAAAGCGCGACACGGCCGCGCCGAGCAGGAGGCCGAGGCGCTGTGCCGCGGGCACGCCGAGGAGGAAGCCGTGGCGCCGTGCCGCGGATGCACCAACATGCTCGCGGTCACCTCCTCCTCGTCTCCGTGTCTGCCCTGCCAGGGATCACGCTCCCCGCCACGGCATCCCGACGGCCGGCAGGGTCAGGGCGCCGGACGACGACAGCACCGGGCACCCAGACGTCCTCATGACAGCGCGCCAGCCGGGGTTGGGGGATGCCGACGAGGCGGGATGCGGCGGCTGACGGAGCGGAGAGGATGAGGACGGCCGTGACCGCATCGCCACTCAACCCTGTGTTGGGGAGGGAGAATGGGTTGATTGTTTTTATTTTTAAGATCTATGGGTGCATATGTAAATGTTTTGCCAAGTCAGCTCCCGACAAAATAGCCCCACTTTGTCAGAAAGTGATTAAACGACCTAAATAACTTGATTAGTGCTTTTTGCAAAAGGTTTACTGAATGTGCGATGTTTTTACAAAAAATTAGTGACCTCATAGTTTTCTGTAAATGATGTCTTAAATGTGGTGGTTTTGTGCAATTAACTCCTTGGACTTGAGATTGATACACAGATAAAAGGAGATCTTTTAATTCTGCTTGCATCACAACAAAAGAGCAGCGTCCCGTGCTTATCAAGGAAAAAACAGAGCAGTGTCCCGGAAAAAAAAAAGGCAGTGGCAACTGCGATCAGGGGGTGTGGGGGACAGCGGCTGTAGTATTGGCATATCCATCCTCTCTTCCCTCGAGGGCGCCTTTCCTCTCCCATCCGCTGGTAGCCACTCTGGCTCCAGCGGCCAGTCCCCTCCCACCGGCGGCTACTCTAGCTCCTGCCCCAGCAACGTTTGGAGCTTTGGTCAAAGTTAATCCCAGCAACTTCCTGCCCTTGCCACTCGGGCACCGGGACAAGGACATCACCATGCCTAACCTCAAGTGAGACAAATATGTTTCTGTTTGGTTCTACCGTGGCCTGTGAGTTAAACGCCTACCGTGGAAGGAAGACCTTGACTTGACTTGGTGATGGTAGGCAGCACGCATCAGGAAGAAGGGCAGCCACATAAGTATCTGCTAACCTTCCTCCAGGAGCCAAGAATTTTCTACATCAATAAGGGCCACTGAACAATGAATTTTGTTTGGCCTGAATTTCATTTTTCCATAAATGATTCCAAATCACACAGTAGGAAATTTCATTATCGCTTTGCCATTAAGACGATGATGAGTACGTGGTAAAGTGAAGCAAAATGTGTTGTTAGATTTTAGTACCAAACTGATCTCTACGGAAAAAGCAACCTCCGGAGACTAAAACTGAACCGACTGTAGTTATGATTTATAACCGGAGGTCATGTATATTCTTTCTACTGTAGTTAGCATATGTCTAGAAAATTTTGCAGTTGAAGCAGGCAGTGATATTCTAGTTGTAAAACAAGTATTGCGTTACCATTTAGCAACAAAATCTTATGGCGTAGCTCTGCAAGTTTTGGCACTGAATGCCGCTCTGTTTGACAGTTATGATTTCAGTACCTGAAAATCAATTTCGACAGTGGTTCAGGTGTTGAGCAGCCAAATATGTTCAGACTTCAGACTATCACAAAACGATCCTAACCTCAGGCTTTCTGTCTCCCAGCGGCGAGGACGAGAAGGGGATCGGAGCTCGGAGGGAGAGAGGACCATACCACGAGATTGGACATGAGGCGGTCGAGGCGTCGAGCGGCAGCAGCCCCATGATGCCTACGTTTCAAACTTAAGCCGAAAGGAGGCGCGAGAGGGAAGGGATAGCTCCGCCGCCGCCACCGTCGCGGGTCCTTCATCGGCTGTCGCTTCCTCGGCAGCCTCTGCACGGCACTCCGAGCGGCGACGGACTCGTAGAGGACGACGGCCGGTCCAAGAGAAGATAAGGCTGGGCCGTCACGTGCGATGGGCTCAGAAGATGACTGGGCCTGGACAACAACAAATGGACTTGCATGTGGATTCAGTTTGCGTTGCTTCGGATTGCAGTGAAGTGGTGGCCAATATTGAAGCAGGCGTTCCGTGTCACTATGTCACTATCTTGAGGGAGATCACAGCCCAGCAGACCTTATTCCGAGACCTGAAGTTTATCCATGAGAAGCGTCAACATAATGACAAGGCACGCGCACTTGCCAAAGCTAGTTCTTCCCTTTCTCTTGGGCGCCATGTGCGGCTGTTATCCTTGCCCGATGTAATCTGTACCACCATGAACATTGATCATTAATAAAGGGTGCAGTTTCCTAAAAAAAAAAGTAGATTGGTTGAAAAATAAAAGAGAAGTATAGATCTGGCGTAGGGGTATGCGCCCGTTTGCCAATCTATACTTCTCTTTTATTTACGAATTAGAAAAATGTTTCTTCACTTCGCGCAAACGGGCGCATACCCTTGCGCCGTGCTGGGCCGGCCCATTTCTTCTTTATTCTGTTAAATACTGCATCTAAAAAAGTGTGAGCACGAGGGTTCGAACTCAGGTTGTCACGGGTGAGGGAGCAGCGCACTGACAACTGCGGGAATGAACCACTTGTGTGTGTAGACTTCTTTCCATTTAATTGTTTTGTTCCAGGTCGCGAAGAGCCCCCGTTTCCAGTTTTGCGTGATTTTCTTTTCTTCTTTTGTTTGCTTGTTTTTCCTTTTTCTTTTCTTTTTTCTTGGAACGATTTTGTTCATTTTTTACTTTCTTTTGTTTCTTTTCTGCTAAATGCGTGAACACTTTCTTTCAAATACATGATTTTTTATTCAAAATTGGTGAAGTTTTGTTCAAGATCGACGAATTTGCTTCCAAATTCTATGAATTTTTTTCGAATTCGGTTAGC